GTCCAAATGCTTTTACTGTTCATCTTAACATGTAAAACTACATTTTTCCTTTTAAAAGTGTAAGTCTGTCATTGTATAAAGAACTGTTTTAAGGCTTTTAAGTCTGGACTTGACTGACCCTCAAACCTGAATTCCACTTATAGAGCTTATTACGCTGCCCTGTTTTGAGGCAAGGTGTTGCTATAGTTTGAGCCTTGCCTGTGGCATTAATCGTTAATCATTCATAGGCACTTGAGCAGTTCAAGGAGTATCTCAGATCATTGTCAGGGTGGAGGTAGAGTTGATGTCTTCAGGGAGACATCATGCTAGGTGTCCATTCCTAGTGTGATGTAGTCAGTTTCTTTTGGAAAGGGGCTTTTGGGGATGGGCAAGAGCTGGATAAAGGCTGTACCTGTAAGTCTACTTTTCCTTTTTTTTCTTTTTTGAGATAAGAGTCTTGCTATGAAGCTCAGGCTTGCCTCAAGCTCTCTATTTAATCCAGGCTGGCCTTGAACCTGTGGCAGTCCTCATGTCTCAGCCACCCCAGTGCTAGGATTATAGGCGTGTGCCACTGTACATGGCTTCTTCTTTCTCTCTCTCTCTCTCTCTCTCTCTCTCTCTCTCTCATATGTATTTGGTATAGTGTCTACAGAGTCTCACTACATAGATCAGACTCAGTGATTCTGTTTTTCAGCCTCCCAAGCACTGGGATTATAGGCTTGTGCCACCACACCCAGTCTCAGTTGTGTACTCAGCACGTCCTGGGGGTGGGACCGGCACCAGCTTGGCACGAAGGGGAACAAACCCTGACTGCTGCGCTTTGCCTAAGCAGGCGCTTAAGTCCACTGAGCTGTCTGGCCAGCCCTCATGGCTTCTTTTATGAAATTAGCAACTTTAAAAATGTTTAAAATCTCGGAAGTAATATATAAACATAAATGTTTTTTAGACAATATAAATTATTTTACCATTCTTTGTATTTTGTCAGGCTAAAGGGAAATTTTCCCTTTCATCTTTCTTTTACTTTTATTCTTCTTTCCATAAATAATAACTACAAAGTTTAGAATCCTTCCAGACCTTTTTCTGTGTATTTGTACTTCATCAAATAGGTTGAGTAGTTCTGTCCTTTCTTAATGGCTATGACATTTTAGGTAGATTTCCCCCTTTTTTTGTTATTGGGAATCAAACTTCCAACCTCACTCTTGCTTGGCAGGCATTGCGCCACTGAACTATATAGTCTGGCCCCTGATTTGCATTTCTATACATCTTTGCTGAGTGTTTTCTGGCCTTGTATGCAAAGGCTCAAGCATGTGGTGGTGTAAGGTAGCAGTCTCTGTACTTACTGATTATAGACTTCTGGGTGTGTTTATGGTGCTGGGAATGGAACCTAGCACCTTATGCATGCAAGGCATACTCTTTACCACTGAGCCCTGTCAAAGGTTACTCTTTTTTTTGGTGGGGGGCGGGGGCAGTGGTGACCTTATTGGCCAGGTAGCTACTTGAAGGGAATGAAATGCGAAGAGTGGTACTGCTGCCAGGCCAGCCATGCTTCACGGGCTTGTAGGTAATAGAGAACTCACCCAGGTAGTGGCCAATCATCTCAGGCTTGGTCTCCACCTGGTTGAAAGTCTTGCCATTGTAGACACCTACCATGCTGCCCACTATCTTGGGCAGGATGATGATGTCTTGAAGGTGTGTCTTCACCACCTCCGGCTTCTCCGTGGGTGGTGCCTCCTTTTTGGCCTTCCATAGATGCTTCAGTAGCGAATGCTGCTTTCGCCAAAGGCTCTATAGCACTCCTCTGCTGAGTGCTATAGAGCTGCATCAGCTCTTTGTAGGAATTGTCCAGCAGCTGGTCGAGGTCCACGCTGCGGTAGATAAACTTGTGGAAGGTTCGCTGTTTCTTTTGCTCCACTTCCGCCATCTTTCCAGGTCTTCAGAAAAGACCGCCCTCTTCGAGTTACTCTTGGTGTGATTTTGTATATAATGTGGTTGACTCCATATGATGTTTATTCTTTTTTTTTTTTTTCTTCTTTTTTGAGACAGGATCTTGTATGTAGTCCAGGCTGACCTTGAATTCACTTATGTAGCAGTCTAGGCAGGCCTTGAATTCATGGCGATCCTCTTGCCTTGGCCTCCCAGGTGCTGGGATTCATATAAGTTTCTATTGGTGAAGCGTATACATTTTTGTTGTTGGTACAGGATCATCCTGTGTAGCTCAGGCTGGCCTTGAACTCTTCTGTTCTTCCTGCTTCAGCCTCCTGAGTGATAGGGTTACAGATGTATGCCGTGCCTAGCTGTGTTGCATATTATTCTCTAAACAATGATTGCCACATAGTTCTCTAAAATGATTGTTAATTTTCTCTGGGAAATAATTTTTAAAAGAGTCACTGTGGTGTAGAGTTCATTCTATGCTCTTTACCTTGCAGGAAGGAGGAGGAGGAGCGAAGGCGACGTGAAGAAGAAGAAAGGGAACGTCTGCTAAAGGAGGAAGAGAAACGTAGACGAGAAGAGGAAGAAAGGCTGAGGCGGGAGGAAGAAGAGAGGAGGCGAGCAGAGGAAGAGCGGCTTCGGTTGGAGCAGCAAAAGTAAGCTTGTTGTGTGGGCTACATCTAAAAATGAGAAGTGAACTATCCTATGTGGTTTTTACCATTGTGTTCCTTAGAATATTTTTGTGATTTGTATGACTGGTAGGTAGACTAGTATTAGCTACTTTTTATTTTTATCAGTGGTCTGTTATCAAAGGAATTTATTTGGAAGAATTTGGGGTTAATGTGCAGATCCCAGGAGCAAGACCTGGGTTTCTCAGTTGCTCTGTCAGTCTCTACATTACATCTACATGATTTTGTCTTTCCTTCTCATCTTCTGTCTCTGCTGTGTTCTTCCTGATATCTGCAAAGTGGCAGTTTCTGCATTGACATATGCAAAGATTTCTCAGCTTGGGGTTATTTGTGTATGTGACTTTTCCTTGCATCTGACAGAAGCAAGCTGGAATCTGGGATCCAGTTAAAAATTATGAGGGTAGAGAATCTAGTTGGTGCAGTCGTATCTGAAGTGTCCATCCTTAAACCCTAGTACAGGCCTTAAAGGCTGAAACTGTTACTTAGTAAGAACTGTGGGAGCAGCTATCTTAGAATGAATTGATTCTTCAAAATGGAGCCATAGGTGCAAGGAGGATGTAATTAACACCTGCTCAGCACTGCTGGAAAGAAGATCTAGAGTTCTAGGGTGGTATTGTATGTAGGTTAAACCAGGCAATATAACTTCTAGATGGTTTCTCAGAAAAAATCTTCTGATCGAAGTCTTCATTCTGCTCTGAAGAGACTATAAATGCTACTATTCTTTTTAGGGTGGGGTACCCTAGTTGATCTCAGGGTCATGCTGTCTTGATGAATCTGAGCATTTGTTTTATTATCTATTTGATTTTAATAGATGGCTTTGAGGTCTTTGTTCAGTGGTCACATAACTGAGTTATGAACATGTAATTTTAATGTGAGAGAAAATGAAAGAATTATAATAGTTCATAGAAATTGTGACTTCTGGACCATGTCTGCCCAAACACTTGTTTTCAGTGTAAAGGGAGCTTTAAATTCAATGCCATAAACCCACAGATTTTCACTGGCTTTATTTAACCTCACCAGGACTATCTTAGTATCTTTTAGCTTTTCTTCTGCCTTTTCTTGTTTTTCATATATTTAGGTAGAGGAGCCATAGCCAATAGTTAAATACCTCACCTCTGCTTCAGATGACAATCCATCAGTTTACAGCATGATGATGAATTAGTAGTTTCTGAGCCAGACTGTCTGATTTGGATCCTGGCTATGGTATGTTTGTACTAGAATCCTGGGCAACTTATTAGACAACCCCGTATGATTTTGAGACCTGTTTGAATTAGTGCATATATATGTTTTGAATACTGCATGGCACATACTAATTATGATGGTGGTGATGATGATATATTTATTATTTCCCATCCCAAATTTATCTTGAAAAAGTATAAAAAATAAAAGGCCAGCCAGGTGTGTCAACAAATACCTATAATCGCAGCACCCCAGAGGCTCATCCAATAGGATCAAAGGTTCAGACCAACCTAGGCTACTACTTAGTGAGACCCTGTCTCAAATGCAAAAATAAAACAGAAAAATCCAATTAGAGGTCAGGTTTATTTTTCTAAATCTAAGAGCTTGGGATACATGCTGATTGGTATACATTGCTAGCTTAGTCATGTTTAAGAGTTGCAAACTATAAAATAATGACATTTAATTTTGTCATGAAGTCTCCTATAGTCAGACTAGTGTATATTTTTTAATGTTTTTAGGCAGCAGATAATGGCAGCTTTAAACTCCCAGACTGCCGTGCAGTTCCAGCAGTATGCAGCCCAACAGTATCCAGGGAACTACGAGCAGCAGCAGATTCTCATCCGCCAGTTGCAGGAGCAGCACTATCAGCAGTATATGCAGCAGTTGTATCAAGTCCAGCTTGCACAGCAACAGGTATGATAGACAACCCCAGAATTTAGCCTTAGAGAGTTTTTTTGTTTCATTGGAAGCCCCCTTGTCCCTTTTTAGCAGTTGCTGATGAATTTTGTATTAGCACCAAAGGTATAAAATAACCTTCAGGTAATCTCTTAGGCAGATGTTAGTAGTCCTAGAAGCGTGAGGACCAAGGTAGCCAGCCTTAGTTCAGAGATATCCTTCAGGCAAAGTATTGTCAGTATGGTGGCTGTTTCTTACGACTACACATTCATATCCAACTCCTACCATTAAATACTATTTTGGTTCAGTTTAAGGAAAGGTGATTTAGGTGAGAGGATGTGGGACTAGGAGTCTGGTCTGTGAGAACCTGTTTTGTACACATGCACGATAGTGATTTAACATTATTTGTACATGAGTAGGGATGTAAAATACCTCCTCAAATGTGTTAATTGTGACTTGTTTTCACTCACAAAATAGTTACCACCTATCAAAAAACTGGAGTGAAGAAAAGTGTTACATTTCTTATTCTTTTTCTGGGAATGTGGTTTTTTTTTTTTTTTTTTTTTTGCGGAACTGGGGATTGAACTCAGATCCTTGCGTTTGCAAGTCAAGCGCTTATCCTACTGAGCCATCTCCCCGGCCCCTACATTTCTTATTATTTGACGTAATCTGTGTTGTTTTCCCCAAAGATCTTTAAGTTCTTTGAAGACATATCAGTGAGAAGTTAGGAGTTCTGCAGGTTTTATACAGTCAGGGAGAGGAAGAAAAGATCACTGACCCCAATTTCATTCAAGATACTTTGGAGGAAAATTAAATAAATAAATAGGGCCGGGGAGATGGCTTAGTAGAGTAAGTGCTTCCCTGGCAAGCGCAAGGGCCTGAGTTCAATCCCTGGTTATGCCAAAAAAAAAAAAAAAACAACAACAAAAAAAACCTTTTGAGGGGATTTTTTTTTGGGGGGGGGGGGATTGAACTCAGATCCTTGAGTTTGCCAGTCAATCACTTATCCTACTGAGCCATCTCCCCAGACCCTTTTTTTTCTTTTTCTATAGCATATTTCTACTTCAGTGTATTACTTTTCCTTTTCCTGATTTCTTTAATAGGAATAAGGGTTTTTTTTGTTTTTTTTGTTTTTTTTTTTTTTTGTTCCTTGAATGCCTTCAGGGCACTTTTGGCCAGCGGGAGAGTTGTGAGGTTCGAACTCCAGCAACCTGAGGCTGACAGCTTTGTGGAAGCAGACACTTAAAGGACTAAGCTAGGGCCAGGCCCCCCTGATTTCTTTAATAGGAAATGAAGTAATTTTTCACTAGAGTAGTTCACATAAACTGTCCTATTCATAGGTTGTCACTTAAAGAGGAGAAAATCAGCCTAATAGAGCAAATCCAGGAATCTTTGACTCGGTATTAGAATGTTACAATTGAGATTAGAATGATCAATTGTAGTTTATTAAATCTATCAAATGGGAGCACTTGTTATTTTGGGGGCATAAGGGTCAGCCAAATAGATTAGCAGATTAAAGTGCCTCGTAGGCAGACGCAGGGGCTAGGAGTTTGATCCTGGGCCTGCCGTTTTTTTTTTGTTTTTTTGGTTTTTTTTGGCCTGCCCCCAGGGCACACTGAGATGGTGATTGAGACTGGGAGTGGTGGCGCAAGCCTGTAATCCCAGCACTTGGGAGGCTATAAACAGGAGTATCACTGTGAGTCTGATCTATGCAGTGAGACCCTGTACACCCTGTAGACCCTGTCCTAAAATACAAAAAATAAATAAATAAATGGAACTCGCTGTTCTATTGTTCATATATCTTTCTTTTTCTTTCTTTGTATTTTAGGGAAGCATCTACAGCGTGTTCAGAGTCTTACTACTAGGACTCTTAGTGATCTGCCTGTTTACAGCGCATGCCACCATACCCAGTCTTAATTGCCATCTTGGGCCATGGGGGCGGGGCTGGCATGGCAGGCCTGGGGATTGAACCCCCAGCCCCTGTGACTGCTTCCAGGCCCTTTAATCCGCTGAGCTGTTTGGCTGGCCCTCTGTGGTTTTCAAACTTCCCGGAGTATAGAAAAGAGACTCTGTAAATTAAGTAATTATAGTCTATTGTGTGTCATAGATACATATTAGTGGCAGAGGGATCCCTGAGAAGTGATTTTGTTCATTCTGCTAGCCTTTGAGGAAAGGCTTTGTAGAGAGGAACCATTTGCTGGGCCAACTGATCATTAGCAGAAATGCTATTTTTTTGCCCCTGCCATGCAGTGTCCTTAGCATACTTACTTGTTTTGATTTTATGTATGTAGTTTTTTTCTGGTGATTGATATTTTTTCTATAAAACTAACTTGAAAGTTATTTAGAATCTGCACTTTGAGGAAAGATATTTTATTTTATTTATTTTATTTTATTT